ATATGGAAACAAACACACCCACATCTATCAGATTGGATATATTTTGTTTTTCTACAACTCTGTACATTTGCACCTGAGATTGTATATGTGATACAGAGAAAAATGCAGACCTGCAACATCCTTAACTCCCTGTTGCTATGGCAACACATCTGGTATAAGAGACACTAATAGGTCTCCCATACAAATTAACCTACGTGGACTATTTATAAAGGAAATAACACATTTAGCTACAATTGGAGATAATTGGACAATTTTCTTAAATTGTTTTAAATTTGTCTTTGTCGAATTAAAAATTTCTCAAATTAAACCCTTTTTATTGTATCTTGTTTTCTGTTGCTGACATGTAATTTTAGGTTAAAGTTTTTTGTTCATAAACATGTTGTATGCTGTTATTTTGACTGGATGGAAGTTAGAGAATTGAGTTAACAGCAATGCTACCAATAGCACAGTAAACCTATGAAGAATCGATATTACTCTTGTATTCAACACTGCACATTCTGTAGCCCTAATATATTTACATACCCACTAGTTCTGTCGTTTAAGGCCATTGCAGCACTCTCAAAGAAATGCTTTATCATTTAACAAGAGTATTTATGCATGTCTGATTCAAGGTTCTGGTCAAATCCCCTCTCAGGGTATTTGCTATTGAATTCAGAGGTTTCCTGAGCCAGAGGGATCCTTAAGTCAATTGAGTTATTTGAGTTGAAAGCAGTCAACTTTCTTTTATTGAGTTGAATAGGCCCTGAAGCTCTCTGAGATAGACCTACTTTTTTCAGCCAGTAATGCAGGCTTGAAAACTCAGATTGTGATTCATTTGATTCAGTATTTCTATTAATTAGAAATTTAAAGAACTAATGATTTTCAGACAAATTTGCTTAAATGCCAAGTATAATCGTATTTCTGAGTTTTCTTTTTTATAATTTAAAAACAGCTTTGAAGGTCACAAGATGGACTCAGATTTAAACAATAAATTGTCAGTACATTTAATTTGACCCCCTAGCATGGATGAAATTTGATTTCGGTAGTGGGGGGACCCAAGTATTTTTTTATATAACTCATATATAAGTTCAGTGTGTTTTTGAGTAGATCTTCTGTTTGTTTCCTCAACTTTTGTCAGCCCTGAAACCAACCACTGACAGACCTTAATTCCGTGCCGCCTCAGATGTTTGTAAAGCGAGCATCTTAGGAATGACAGCCAATCACTGGCAATTTTGTGGGTGGTCAAAACTCAGGGCAGTGGGCTTCAGCTTCATGTTTAGCTGCGGTTTTCTGCTAGGTCCTAGTGCTCGATGATTTAAAGGTGTACTGTAGCTTAACTTTGTTTAAGCCCCTCCAGCACCACCAAATTATGTCCATGCAGTTTAGTAAAGATTTGTGACATACTTCCTTAATTAAAATTTAAGATTTCAACCTGCAATTTAAGAACAGGTATTTGTTAAGGTGACAACATGTGTACAGAAATAATTGTTTAAATAAAACTCTTCAGAAGTATGATTTTAGTTTCCTCTATGTTTTTTATAGTTTCTACAACTGTGTTTTAGCAATAGCATAGCATAAAGTCATTGAAAAGATTTCACAGGGTTGGGGCATACAGAAAGGAATCCTTGACTATTACACTTTAAACAGTCTCTAAATCCTTCAGAGTTCTGTGTTCTCCTTTATGCTGTGAACTGCTTCAGCTCAGTTCACAGTTTTTTTATGGGATTCATGCCCAGAGCCTGAAATCACCGTAGCAAGAAGTTTGAGTTGATTTATGGAGAATATTTTTTTTTTTTTTAAGAAATAGACAGCAGTAACCAGTCGATGTTTATGTATAGAGATGTAAAGGCGATCCTTTAGAGCCTGTGTCCTGAATGAGTTAGAGGTTTCCTTGCTTCAGCCCAACTGATTTTATTTATAACTGATTAGCAGGCTTTTGCTGAACTGGAGTAATTTGCATCAGGTGTCTTTAAGCAGGGAAACTCTGAAACCTGCAGGACTCTTGAGGAATTACTTTGGACAACCCTTGTCTAAATTTTTAATAAAAAATGCCTACAGCATCACAGATTGTCCACCATACTTACTCAGCATGAGTTTCCTGTTTATCTGCTTACTACTGAAACTATCCATTTTAATATCATCTGACAAAATGTCTTATTTGGTTTTTTTGTTGTTTTTTTTTTATTCTCATAATGGCTAAGAATAATTCACATGTTTATATTTGCAGTGGTAGTCTTTTTTTATTATATTTTCAGACCACTGGTTTACATCTTGTGTTCATTTCAACAACTTGATGACCATAAAGATGCAATTCTATGCTTCAGTTCTCTTTCTGGTTAGGATATTGTTTTACCTCCTTTTCCACTCTACTCAGTGTGTATTGTAGCAATATAAATATTCCTTGTCAAGCTTAATATCTTCAAAAGTAAAGAAACAGAAATGAATGAATTAATAATTAGAAGTTAATTAGCAACTGTGATATTTGATAAAATTGAAGCAGAAACTAAGGGCCTTTATGTATTTTGTATTCCAAAAAAAATGTGCAACACAGGTATTGTTGAAAAAATAATTTATTTTTTGCCTCAAATATGCAGACCTAAATTCCTTCCTGTAAGCTGTATATGTGTGTTGTGATATCGTGTGCGATAAAACTATAATAAGAGAAGAATTGATCTTGATACTTTTTCCCTCATATTTTGGGATGAATGAATGTGACTAGTACTGTATTATAACCTGCATTCTATCATATTAACATACACTCACCGGCCACTTTATTAGGTCCAATTTTGAAGGAACTGAAGTATACATGCAACTTTATATTTTAAAGGTTTTTCACATTCCAGCCACAAGATGTTTTGTATTTTGTTTGGATTATATCTTGCTGGAAAAACATAGTAGTTACTTTTTTTTTTGGTGCATTTAATATTATGCATCATTAAGAATATATACTATATACTATATATATATATATAATAAAATTTCCCTTTTACTCATAACTTGAATCCAGCGCAACCAACCCATCAGTGTGTCATTTCAGTTTCAAGTATAGAGTTTCTAAAAAGCCCGCATAGGTTTGTTAGAGAAGATTAGTGATAAAACAGCATCATGAAGACAAAGACAACAACAATATCATTGTGCACAAATGTGATCAACAACAGGACAATGGAAACCTCCAAAATCCAGAGTAGCAGCAGAGGGCCACAGCTCAGGTGGGGGGGGGGGAGATGTTAACAACCATCACTTTTTTATTATACTAATAAAGCCTTCATGGAAGAATGCAAAATATTAAACCACTGCTAGATAAAAAGAACAAAAATCCTATTTGACAGAAGCTATTTAGCAAAAAAGTAACAGAAGCTGCTCTGGTCAAAGTTGTCCATGTTTTCCTCCAAAGAATCAAGTTTTCTTTGGAGGAAGACATTTATACTGCACAATATACTTTATTTCCAAGGTTAAATGTAATAGAAGCAGCCTCATGCTGTGAAGATGCTTTTCTCCAAAGATCGGGGAGCCAGTCCGATCTTAAAGTATAGGTACTTAAATGCATCTAAATTCTGGATACCGACATTTGTTAGGTTTTACCTCCCGCAGAACATAAATATAAAGTCCAAGCTAAAGTAAAATGTTTTGTATAACACAGGTGTCAAACTGCAGTCCTCAGGGTGCTGGAACTTTGAGAACTTACAATAGCAGGCATGAATCAGATGATTAGGTCTTTACTCTGAAGAACTTAGATGCATTTAAAAGAGGTAATTCAGTGATATGAATATGGGGAATCCACTAACTAATGGACATCAGTCTTTGAAACTCTTGAATAAGAGCAAAGAATAATAATTTGATAGACTGGTTCACGTGACATTTCATCTCAAGGACTTTACAGTTCACCAGGTCATACAGTCAGATTGATTCAAAGTTTTCTATCTAAGGAAGACCAATTGATTGCGTCGACTCATTTGACTCGAAAGCGCTCCCTCACACTACAGTAAGCATGCTTGTAATGACAGTGGAGAGGAAAAACTCCCTTTTAACAGCAAAAAAACTGAACCAGGCTCAGTGTGAGCGGCCATCTGCTCCGACTGAGGTTCAAGGAGAAAGAAGCAGAGATACTAAAATCAACTGTAAAAGGCGGCCCCATCCAGGAAACACACTTCCAGGCAGACGAGCTCCGAGCCAGCTCCCATGTCAAAGTATGAAAGAGAGCACATCCAGTTAGTCACAGTCAGAGAAACAGGACCACACTGAAAAACAGGCCAGTCTCCAACATCTATAACCAAAGGTGTTGATGGAAGCAGCACAGCAGATATTTCTCCCCAGGATGGAGTCACAGCCAAACAGGAACAGACTAGGCGGAGCTACTATAAGAAAAAGCAGAGAGAGCATAACATTAGAGATTGAACTAACAAATACTGCAGAGTGGGAGAATAGAGATAGAATGAAGTACAATGATGAGAAAGGGGTCCCTATGTCCTCCAGAAGTCTAAGGCTATAGCAGCATAACTATAGAGATAGCTAAAAAAAAACTAGTATTCACAGAAACTGTATATGCAGTCCGATATAACTGAAGCTGTTTTATATAAAGAAATATAGAGCAGAATGTAGACCACACAAAAAGTTAACTTAAAAGGACAAGATATAAACCCAACCTGACCTCTTCAGGTATTTTGTTGTGAAAAACTAAATAATTGTTTCACTTTTCAGTTTTGTATTTCACATTTGTATTTAGTTTGATAGTGTCAACCAACCTGTAGCATGAATATCTAAATTTAAAATTACACTGGTGAAAATTATGCTGGTGATTTAATGCTGACGTGAAAAAGTTAAAGATTTCTCATTTGTTTGTAATTTTACTTTGAAATATTTTTGCCTTTAAGTTACTTTTACTGTAAAAGAAAAATAAACTTTAAGGAATACCATGTTGATTTACAAACTGGATATTAATCCATTGTTGATGGATGGTAAACATGCAACATTATGTACAAATTAATTAAATGGTTTCTTTTTCTTTTCATTTTTCTCCACAGAAACCTGTCGAAGAATCCTCTAACCACCTTATCATGGCAGCTCTTCCAGCACCTCCAACTCTCTGAGCTGTAAGTCTTCTCTCATCTGTCTTACTGGCTTTTGTTTGTATTTTATTACGGCACTCTATCATTGTCCTCAGCACACTATCAGCCTCTATACAAATTGTCTTGGCTGCATACTATTATAATTCCTGCGTTTGTCGTACACAACCTTCAATTTGTCTGAGCACATCTGAAAGACCAAACCTTATAGGCATCATTGTGATCCTATAAGTCATTAGAGGATGTAATAAATTTGTTTAAAAGAAAAATGAAATAGATGAAAAGGGGGAGGCCATCTGACCCCATTTTCTTGTTTGTTATGAATATTTTAGGGATCGTTGTGTATATGAAACGAGTTTGCTTTGACACCCAATGGGGAAATAAACATCGTTATGGTGACCTGCGTGTAATGCAAACATCATTATGCCTGCTGGTGTTGTCCATTATTTGAACCTCTTCTGGTGCTCTCTGTATTGGCCCTGTGGTACATAAAAGTGAGGTATCTGGATGTGATATGAGACTATTTCAAGAAGACCTCCTTATAGTGCTATTTTCAGAGGTAGAAGCAGGGCAGATCCGCTGAGAGCATTGGCACAATGCTTATCTCCAGCTCTCTTGTAGCTACAAGTAGTGGAAGAGTTAAGAAGCCCCGCTCAGATGAATGCCATGGTTACATATTTTGTCATTAAGCTTTTAACTTATCTCTGGGTTCTTAACCCAAACGAACAACTCTTCTTATTCATTTTGCATACAAAGAGGCTTACAGCAAACCCTACACCAGAGCTGCACAAGTGTTGCCTCTCAATGGGCTGTCATCAGAGGCAGATGGGCTGCTGTCTTCTTCACAGCGCTTGTTAGTGGGCCATAAATTTCTTCTTTTCTCTCAAGAACATAACAAATTCTGCTCTTATGTTTTCTTCCCACCCAATAAGCTCCACTTTTCTGTTGTTTGTCATCTGCCTTTCCCTCTGTAGTCCTGTGGTGTTAACTGAACCATGGTTCCATTTCTAAATAATGCATGGTGTGAGGTGGAGGAATCATTTGCTGCAAACCGTAGGATGTTGCATTCTCAAATTTGCTAATGCTCAGGTATTCCGGGCTCTGAATACTTTCTATATTGTGTAGTAGTTTTTTGTGGTTGTTCCTGTTAAAATTATACCTAAAATTGAATTTTGTTTCAGTGGCTTTAGGAAGAGTAATAGCCTACCTTACTGTGTTTTTCACAATGGACATGTTTGACCAGCATAAGCTTGACTGTGGCATATTTGCAGGACAGGGGGACATTTATAAATATTGCTACTGGAAAATCAATAAAACTGCTGCTCAATTTCTTTTCAACAGTGACTCAATATTAATATTAGTTTTCTACAATCTACAAAATGCAGAAGCTTTGAACACCTAGTTACGCTGGATGTTGGAAAATGGATGCATGATTTGCTTTCTGTTCATTTCAGGTGACAATTATCTAACCTCTTGTGTAGATAGAGCATAACATCTAATTACCAGATGGTTGGTATACTTTCAAACAAAGTACATACCAAATATAGTCTAGAAGTCTGTAATCCAATTTCTATTAAAAAAATGATAGCTGGATGAATTTTGAACCCTTGGTAATCAGGATGAACTGAAATTGTCATGTTGCAATTTCTCCACTCAGACTACAATCACACCTCTATGCTATGGTGTCATGTTGACAAATTCGGTACACAGACACAGTTAAAATGAGTAAATGATTTAATTTGTAAGGATCTGGCAATCTAAAACGAGCCCCAAAGGGTGAAATGGTGACAACGTTATGAACTGGAGGGACTGGCAGTCAGTCAAATTTGTGAGCAAAGGTCACTAGACACAGACATCACATCAGACACCCGTTAGTCTCTCTCTCTCTACTATTTGTTCAACCACCAAGATTGTGACATAAATTTCATCATTTGTTCATACCCTCTGGGGTTTTGCCAGGGCTTTTTGTGGATCTCCATATGTTTGACTGTCCGTTGTATCGATTTTGACTGATACTTCTTTTCAAAGAGTGACGTCAAATACAAAGCATCTAAACCAAATTATGAATCACAATGTATGGAAAAGAAAAATGACAATGACATTGATGTGTGAAACTTTACTGCTTTTGAAAATTAAGATGTCAGCTTTGGAAAAGAAAGAGACTAAGACTGACCATCCATCAATCCATCCATCCATCCATCCATCCATCCATCCATCCATCCATCCATCCATCCATTGCTTAAACACACCATTTCAAACTAAATGTCACAAACCCGATATACCAAATACACCCTATACCAAATGCTAGTACTGCTGTCAACAATTTAATATGCATCCTGTTTGTTTGGTAACCTCCAATATATATTTTAGACTGACTTCTGACATCCATACACTCATATTTCTTTCTTACCAACTGTGCCCAGTAGTGCAGGATCACCATCAGATTCATCATCATTACCATCAGATAAATGGATAAATACAGACTTCCATCATGGCCTAGTTGTTTGCCAAATTACATACAAATCAGGCAATGTATATTTATTGAGATAAGAAAAAAATTATGTACAAATTTATTACAGTCATCAAAATGTTTTAATAGGATTTTGTAATGTTTTACTTTATTCTTGGTAACTCAAATTGTTTTGAGTTACCAAGTATATTTTAAGTTTCTTAAAATATACTTGCAAAAATTACATGTCTGTTAGTATATGATTGGCTAGTCATCTGTTTTAGAGTATAACAGAATAGGAACGTCACTGAAGAAACTTGCTTGTAGTTTCTTCCTATGAAGAAGCTGCCTAGGGTCATCCTTTATGTCATTCATCTGCAGAGACTCCAAGGCCATCTCAATCAAAGATCCAGCTTTCCTCATAGGCATGTTCATCTCCTTTAAGTCATTGGGTCTGATGGTGTTACCATTAAAGATTAGGGCAGAAGAGTTTCAGTTTCCACAAGAGTCTTATGGGAGATCTGCAGCAACGAATAGGATATACTTTTCTTGTAAACAACTTTACTCTGCTGTCTGTAATCCAGACTTTTGTCCAGCTTGATACCAATCTGTTTTCACTCCTCCAGAACCTTCACTTCTCCCCTTTGATAGTATACTTTTTTTGATATGTACATTTTTTGTCTCTAGTCCTACTTCTTTTGAGATCTACAATCATGTTCTTTGTTTACTTTTACATTGAATATGAAAAAAAAAATCCCACACAAAGTCATACACCAGCTTGTTTCTTCTCCAACTATGGTATACCAGATAACTGATGACACCTTTCTGAATTTTATGAGAATTCAAATTAATACAGAGTGAAATTCCCCATTTCCACTCCCTCTCTGAAACCAATCTGTGCCGAGTTCGGACCGAGCTTGGATCAGTTAACAATGCAGAGCTTGGTTCTTATGACCATTTAAACATCATGCTAGCACGGTTCCTTGCCTCCTATCAGCGGTCCATGATACTACAGTTCTCAATTAATCAAACAAAAATGGCGCCACCCATAACATTCAGGAACTTATGTGCCTAGATAGCGTCCTCTGCCCACATTTCAACTAGAGCCTCTGTCTCTGCATCATCCCTGGTCACACCACGCTCTTTTGATGCCATTTATTGTCCATAGACAGAGAAGAAGTTTCTGTTGTAAACAGGTGTAGAGATCTGGGAATTGCAAAGCCAGAAATGCTGGAAAACCCATGAAATGAGTCAAATGACTGTAAATAGGAGATGACGCGGTCTGCTCATTCGCTCTTTGTTATCAGAGAACCAAGCCACAGATTAACCATGACGAGCCCTGTGCTGAACTGGTACTAGATTTAGCGCGGTTCGGTTGTGTCTGACATGGTCCAGTTCAGTTATTTTCCATTTACACTCAACACTTATCTCGATTACCCTGCTTGACCCGTTCTCTGTATGGTCTTACAAGGGTAGAGTAAATGGGCCTAAAGGGAGCTCTTCCGGTCTCTGAGAATGATATTCTCTGGACCAACAGCCTGGTTCTGGTTTAGCCTCTCAGGCTGCTTCTTTAGCTTCAGTCTTAAAACATACAGATGGGGGGACAAACGGAGCCCAAGCATAACCTGATTTGGCTGAAGACAATAATGAAGAAGCAGCAGGAACCATAAGTGAGGCAGAAGACGAACCATCTGAGACGTGACAGGAAAGGGGATGAATGTCTGTTGGCTTGGGGCAGGAAAAGAGGATGCTGAGCTTCTTCTTAAGCTGAACTAATTGAACACTGGGTTAAGTTATTGGCTTTTTCTAGACTTCCATCTATCTGATACTACTTTCGCTTAAAGCCTGTGATCGCCTTTATCCCTGACCAAACATTCATTATTTAGTTCAGCTGGGCCTTGCTTTCACTTTCTTCCTGTGAACCTTTTTGCTGTCTCTAATCTTGATGTTAAATTATTTAATAATTCCCTGTCTTCCCCCCAGAGAGATAATTTGGGATAAAAATGTGGAATCATGAACATACTGGATACTGTTAAACAACCTCAAAAAGCAAGTCATATATATATATAAAAAAAAAAAAAAAAAAAAAAAAAAAAAAACCTTTAAAAACTAAAAATTACATTTTGAATTCAAAGTAAAACCTTAAAAAGAAAAAAGAATAAATAAATGATTACACTGGCTGATTTGTTAACACTTAAATGACTAAAATCACATATTAACATAATTTAACTTTGATTCCTAAACTTTGGTGTATATAAACATTTGAATTTAGAGTGAACAACGATGGTTTCAGTTTAAACTGGTTGTGTTATGTCTTCTCAAAGAAGATGACAACATCCTTAAAGGGATCTAAGTTTACCCTGAATAAATTAATCCCACACAGTAAATAAATATCTAACAGTAAAAAAGGGAGGCTGATGGAAACAGCTGCCAGAATAAGTAATTTATGCAGATTTACACTGAAAGGAAACCACAACATACTCTAAAATTAAAACAGTACAAAAATATATATCTGTTGAAAAACAAGGGAAAATTTGTTAGATGAAAAGTTACTCGAGTAAAAGGTATCTGAACTAAA